CAATTTTTCTGCTCCTTTAGTTGTACCATTTTAATTCATTGATTATTATTTTCTTGTTTGCTCTAACATTTCCTAAATTCAATAATTATAATCAAATTTATTACAATTGGGAGGTTCCTGGTCTTGTTACCTCGCCCATTTAATTCATCATTTTTTTTTATTTTCTTGTTAACTTTTTTGTTGCATCGAAAACCAAATCTGTCTGTTTTTTTTCTGCTGCCCGCAATGATAATGATTATTACATGGACATTAGAAACAAAAGTAATCAAAATGAATAACATCTTATCAATTGTGTATCAAGAAAATTGAATTAATATTAACATGAATCTTGGGCCGATACGCCTTGAGCAGTTTCATTATTTTCCTTCCTTCTGATTAGAGCAGGTTAAAAGATGAAATTAATTTCTTGGTTTATATCAATTAACCCGAAATAAGGAAAAGTGAATAAATAAAAAGGTTAACAAGCTTCATTGAATTTTGAAGGAAATTTTTTTCTATCTTGCTTCATCTTCTGGTTAAAGTCAATGATTTACAGTAATCATGATCAAGAGTTGAACAATGCGTCATAGATGCGCTCGATATTGAAAGTTTCATCATTACGCAGCTAAAGTTGAACTTTATGATTAACATATTTTCTCTGGTAGTTTAGTGGTTAGTAAATCCTTCACAATCATCCTTTTCACCTTTTAATCATAACAATAGCAGTAAAAGGCTATTCACTTGAACTATGTTTTGGCAAATGCTCATGCTTGAGCTTGCCTTGTTTGTAATACTTTGGTTTGAGTAAGCCTTAACTAGGCTTGATGGAAACATTTTTATGAAATGTTTTTTTTGGCAGAAGGGAAAATAAGACATGTTTTCCTTGAAATGACCATATTATATTTATCCTCAACATTTGAAACATGATGCAACCAACTTTAAATTGAAACTTTTTTTGAATAAAAAGTCAAAAACTATTACCTTGTAAGATGAGAAAACTCTTGAGGGATTTTTGGTTGAAAAAAAGGTAGAATCTTTTAACGGAAAAAGATGTGAAGTTGAAAACAAGCCAAGAGCAAGAGTGTTAAACTAAGGAGTTAAGATGTTGATCAGGTAAAGTCAAGAGTGAAAAATAGAGGCGAAGCATTGAAAGGTAAAATCAATTAATTTAAAGAAAAAATGAAAAGCCAGAAAAAAAAGAGTGAAATTGTTTTTCGCTTCTCAACAGGTAAAGTGTAGGGTTCTCCTGTTGATGAAGTTGCAAGTGTAAAGTCAAGGTGGACAATGAAGATGATCCCAACAAGATGATGAGCATGATAGCGCTTCAGGTAAAATACAAGCCCAAACAACATGCTGTGCAAGTTTACAGGCAAAGTCAATTCAAAAGAGTCGATAAAATACTCAAAGACAAACATTGAAAAAAGCAAAAGCAATCCCTTTACCCTTCAAGGTCCAAAGTGTCCACAACGGCCTAAATGACTCTGAAATGGACCTTCAAAGATGCCAACATTGCAAACCTTTCGAGTCAAAACGGATACAAAAAAGTCTAAACCTTTTGCCAAGTTGACCAACGAAACATTTCATCAAAGTCGAGTTATAAAGTTCATCAAATGGATCAAAAGTTTGCTCAAAAATTGGACAAGTTAATTAATAACAAAAGGAAACTCAATTGAACAAATTATTAACATTTGAAAAAGTTGTCAAAATTGATTGGATGAAAATGTGAAATGATTAAAGGAAAGGCGCAAAAAGCAAAGTAAAATAATCTTTCCTTTTTCTGGGTTAATAATAATGTTGATGATAATAATAGGAAATATACTAATAAAAATATAACATTGCATATGAATTGCAATTTCACGGACCAGAACCTATTATTATTATTAGATAGTGAAGATGAGAAAAGATGAAAACTGATATTTGATGGTTTGTTATCCTATTGATATTGTTTAAAAAAAAGCTTGTGTTGAGGCAAAAAGATGACAAGGAAAAAATGTTGACAAAATGCTGAGAAGGAAAAAGTTGTTGCACCGAGAAAAAGACTGGCAACTCGTTAAAACCATTTCACTTATCCTATTATGATGAGTTTTGATATTTTATAACCAAATCGACCACATCTATAGATGTAATAAAAAAAGAGAGAAGATGAAGAAGAGCGCAAAACAAAAACCTCAGTGATTTGGTTGGTGTCAACATTTTGACAGGAAAAACTGTTTCATTCATGAGTCTGGTTATTGATGTGAATATAAATGGCAACTTTATGAGCAATACACAATTCACTTTTACCTTTTCTCACTCTATTTGCCTTTTGATATGCTTACGATAATTCACAATGGATATTAATTCTTCTTCTTCTTCTTCATCTTCTTCATCTTCTCTTCATCAATTTTGCCTTCTAACCAGAAAGATGATCAAAAAAAGATCCCAATTGTTATTCACATTTTTGCCCTTTTTCCTCTTCTTTCCACTTTTTATGTTATTCTTGCTTTACTTGCTTCCTATTATTTCCTAAAAGAGCTCTTTCACTCTATCAAAATGATGAATATTGAACGATATTACAATTTGATTCTTGTTATTAACATATTATCATCTCCATCATCTTGTATTAATCATGATTCTTGTTCTTGACTTTTTTTCATCTTCACCAACAAGAACCATTTGAGTATTAATTTGATTCGTTTTTTGCTTGTTTTTCATTCAAAGATGTTCATTTTGTGATAATAGCAGTAATTGATAATGGAATGAATTTTGTTCAGATTTTTTTTTCGTTTGTTTCAAGTTTTTAATTATTCATTGGGTTTCATTTAATATGTAAATTGAGCTTTTTTGTTGTGATTTGGAGTTGTTTGTTGGCTTTGTGCTGTTTTGTCATTTGTAATTAAAAGTTTGGTGAATTCAATTTTTTGCTTTTTATCCATTCCATTGTTATTAATATACAATAATGTTGAAATTCATTTGAGATTTAAATGTCAACTGTGATTATTGAAGATGAACAAAGTCAATGGTAATGGTGAGGATCAAATGGAATGAGCGAGAAAAAAATGTTTCAATCAAGTCCAAGTATCTTCAACCGTGAAAACCATGGTTACTTTCACGGTGACATTAAAGGTCCATTGCGAGTTGGCATCTCTGGAGAGTGAGAGAGGTTCATGAAGATGATGATGATGAAGAAAAGAGAAAAGTGATAGACAGAAGAAAAAAGTATTTCGAGTCAAGGATTTTGACGCTTTTTTTCAACTTGCAGACCCACTTGATATAATGTCACCAATGGTGCCATCAACTGTCACATGGATCAATGGGCCAACTGGTGAAAACAAGCTCTTCATTTGAATTACAGTTAAATTAATTGAAGCCACAAACATTCAACAAAAGCCATTGAAACATTGAAATTATTTCACTTTCATCTTCAACCCTTCAGCATCAAAAAACCATCATTTTGTTTCTCGTCTAATAAAGTCTGTTGCAACAAACAAGACTAACTTGTAGCAATAAAACTTTTTTATTCAAATACAAATTGCTTTTTCCATGAAAATTAAAAAAAATGTTTACTTGGAAAAATTTCCTCATGAAATAATAAGAAATTATCCGAACAGTTTAAATAGCTTTTGATCAATCAGCTTTTGATCAGTTTTTACATTGTTACAAAGAAGTACGACTTAATGTAAAGACATCTAAAGGTCCAACTTATGAAATGAGTAATTGTGATCAACTAAAATCAAGCAAATGTGAAACAATCACAAATCAATTATTTTACTTGACTGAATTAGTTTTGAAAATTTCAAGGAAAATGTTGAAAACATGAGAGATGATAAATCTCATTGGAAGAATGAGAAAGAATCGTCAATTCTTAAACGATTGCTTTTGATAAGAATTGCAAGTTTTGCTTAAATGGTCTTTAAAACGTTTGTCGATTCGAGCCTCTTTGGTGAGTCGAAGTCGAAAAGTCGACTAAGAATGAAATTTCGATGAATTCATATTGAATGTTGAGAAGACTTTTGTTGAAAAAGATTCATCACCTTCCGTTAGCCAATCGAATAAGTTTTTATGCTCGATTTTGTCTCTATTGCAGTTCGACTTCCAAAGATGATCTAAAGCTTTTAGGGTTAAATTTATGAGTGATTTATCAAAGAGAAGGGAAAATGTCCAATTTTCCAATATCGATATTAAGATGAGTTTAATCTTGAATTTCATCTGATTTTATATTTTGATTATATTAAACTTTCAACACCTTATTTGTATCAAAATGTTGCTCTTTTGTTGCTCCTTGTTCAACTTAATTTATTTACTTGATAACTTTATCTTGTATCGTTTACAATTAACTTTGATTTGGTTTAACTGTTTTTTCCGTTTTGTTTTTCGGGTTACTCAGCTTTACTTTTTCATTGTTACAGTTAAAAGCAATTACATGTTTTAATGGAAACAAATGATTGTCATTAACTTTCATTTAGCTTCACATTTGGTGAGATTCATTGAATCTTGTTAAGTGTTGCCGATGATCATCATGATAATGTTTAAATATTATCATTCAACCAATCGAGTTGTACAAGGTTAATCAAGATAAATCAACTTAAAAGGTAAATTAAAGTTTGATCAGGGAAAAAAGGAAAAGATGAAAATAGTAAAAGACACTTAACTAGGATCAATATTTAACAGTAAATCATCAATTGGTACAATTGATGATCAAAGTTAATTAAAAAAGATCTTTGCTTTTAGATGAAAAGATTCAACACTTAAATTGAATGAATTGTGTTAATGAGTCAACAATCAAGTGTTAATTGTTACCCACTGAGGAATCACTTGAGTGTTAGACAAAAAAATGATATTCATTTCTTTTTCGTTTTTCACTCTTTTTCAGGTGAATTATCACAATTTGAACAATCAATGAGATCCGAGTTTTTGGCCAACATCATCTTTTCCAATCTTCATCAACTTTCATCTGAAATAGCTTTCAATCATTCAACTGTAACCCAACAATCAACAACTATTAATAACAACAATCATAAGATTAATGAGAAAAGGTGAAGGAAACAGAAAAAAAGTGATCTTAAATTTGTCGGCAAAATCCAAAAGGTACATGTTTGTTATATTGAATTGGAAGCAAATGCCAAGCTAATCATCACTTGATTGTTGATTAAAATGATTAGATTGAATTAAAGTTTCAGTAGTTTTGCTGGTTTAAACATTGATATTGAACAATCATCGGTTTATTAAGATGTTTGAAATTGTTTATCAGCATGAAAGAAGGAGAAGAAAGCGTAAAAATGTAATTTGTCCGAAATCTCGTTGAAACTGATGAACATAAAGATACTCAGAACATGATGATTATGATGATAAAAGTTGAATTTCCGTTCAATCAATCAATCGTCCAATCAGAGTTTCAACATTGTTAACCTCAATCATTCAGAATAAAGTGAGAAAAAAACTGGAAAAAAAGTAAATAAAGCAAATATTAAAGAGTTGAAGTTGATTCAATGATAAGTTGGATGACAATTTAAACTGTCTAATGAATCTAAAATTGAGATAATTTCGGTAATAATTCACATCTAATCGAAATTTTCAATTCTTTTACTCATTTAAATACTTACTTTATTCCAGAGTTAATTTTGCATGAATTTTGAGGTGATTATGTTGCTCTAAACGATTACGCTCTTTGTCAACAGGAAAATGATGGAGTGAAGAGAAGTTTAAAAGTTGATAATTTCATCATTAAGAGGCACCTTATTTATCATCGACTTGAGTTTATCAATTATCTGTTTGCTTTTAAATGTTCATCTTCTTTTCAACAACATTATTTCAACCAAAAACGAGAATCTTCTGTAGTCTTGTTCATTAACATTTTTGGGTCTCAAATGGTCTGCTGGTACGCCCAACACGCGCTGGTTACTGGTTGTTGTTGCCTCAAAATTACCACGTTAATCATTAGCTATTAGCCTAGGGTTATTTTATTAAGCACCAACAGCATCGCCTTTTTGTTGTTGTTTTTTCTGTTTGAAAAAAAGTTAAAATTGCATTATTAAACAATGTAAGTTTCAGCGTAAACAAAGGCACTTTAATTGACTATGATTATTGGTTGAAACAAAAAAAAGAGGATCAACTTTAATATGAAAAGATGCTTTTTTCAGAATTTTCTTCAATTCTCATATTAAAACAATTATAACCATGATTATGAGTGTTGTTGCTTGTTTTGTTTCATTATAACAATCATTTTTCAACTCTCATAGGAATACATGTATTAATATTATTATCATGATTATTATAAACCAATTATGACAATCACACCCAGCTTTTGAAAGGTTCAATTGTCTGGGAGTGTTGATTTAGGTGAAATTAAGGTACTTCAGTACTTACATTTATATATATATTGGATGATTAACAAATCAACAATATAATTAATCAATAGCTGGATCGTTTATTAATTATTCAGGTAAATATGGGTAAGATTTGGGAAGTTATCAATCATTTGTAAACTTTGCAACGAACAAAATGAACACCTTTAAATCCTTTGCTTTTATTTGGCCATCCATTGAATATTCCTGAAAGTAATCGTGAAAATGAAAAAAAGAGCATCATTAAATCAATGAAGTTAAATTGCGCTGTAAATGAACATTGAATAAATTGTTTAAAAATAACAAGATTGTTTAAACAATCAATGATTCTGTAGCAGCTTCTTTATAATTATATGGTTTGGAAGACTTTCAAGGAGAGATGAAGGAAGATGGCGAAGACCAAGTTAATAAGGATGATGATGATGATGATAGGTGAAGACTCATTTATTTATCTCTCTCTCTCTCTCTCTTTCTCTCTCAACTTACCTTGTTAATAAAATGTTTTTTTTTCTTTGTATATTATATTACAATTAACATTATTAGTTGTTGTTGATGTTGACAGGATTTTTGGCTTCAGCTTGGCTGCTCCTTTGGCTTGGTAAACACCAAGTTTAGTAAGCGTTAAAACAGCCTCCTTACTTTGACAATTTAAGTTACTAGGTAAGAGTAGATGATTAGTATGATGATGAGAATGATGAAAAGGAGGGAAACTGTTCATTATTAATGAGCACCTTAAGATGATGAGACAATAATCTGGCTGGTAAATTGTGTAAACCTTAACAGAGTAGGCCTAACATAGATGCCATTGTTGTTCACTTGACTTGGCCTTTCTTTTTGTTTCAGGAAACAACTATTTTCTAAACATGTTTAGACTAATTTTACAACTTACCTCGTTAATTATAATAGTAATTGTTGAGTCAATCTTGTTATTATTAATTACAAGTCTCGTTGAAGAGCCCAATTTACAACTGTTTAGTAATAAGCATATTTTTTAAGGTGATAAAGATGATTATTGATGTTACATGTTGAGCGCGTCTTAAAGCTTTCTTGGTTTAGCTTATTACACAATTGTCTAGTGTCTCTATCTGGTTCTTGCCCTTTCAATTAATAACTGGTGACATTTTCAAGCGTTTCCTTTTGTTTTTGTTTTTACCTTTTACTTTTCCCTATTTTTTGTCTATTTTGTATATTGTAATTGTTACTTCTCATTGCTATTTATATTATTGTCTCTTCATTCAACGTTTTTAGTTGAACAATTTAAATTACACTGCATTTTGTTGGTTAAATGATTATGGTTAATGTTCCTTAACAAGTGAAGGTAAATGTATATTTGGATTACAATTTCTGGCTAAATATTGAAAGTTATCATTTGCCTTTCAACTAGTAATTGATATCACAATTATCTAGACTTTCTATTTTCATCTAATTCTGGTTACAAGTTTTGATTATGTTATTGCTATTAACCAGATCATTAGTCGACATGATTACAAGTTGGCTAAATGGCTTATTATTAAACATTATCATTGTCATCGCACCGTACAAAATGGCATCAAGACTATTTTTATAGGTGTTTACTTGTGTCTAGCAACTTGAAAATTTCCTGCTTTTCAACCTTTTTACCTTTTATTAATTAAAACTGTGTTCACTAATCAATTGATTATCTGTATAAATGTGAATAATGTTACTCCATTGAAACTGGAATGGACAAAAAAGGCTAACAACATGAAAAAATGGCTAAACAGTTGCCATTAAAGTGGAGTTGAATGAATTGAGATGAGATTTTGAATAATTACATTACAATGATTTTAATTTTAGGTCCGTTTTTTTCGTGTTATGTAAATTTTTGACTGAAACAATGAATATTTAGTTTTGAATGATAAACATGAGAACAAGAAATGTTGAACAATTTGATGTTGTTGTTGATGATCATTTTGTTTTCAATGGATGCCACAAATGATGATTGAGTGATTAAGCTCATTACCAAGTCAATTAGATCGGTTTGTGAAGAAGAAGCCCATTGTTGACAGCAATTAGTTAAATAATCAAGAGTTGGTTGTGTGGGTGAAAGATTATGTTTGTTGATGTTGTTGAAAGACCTCCATGTTGTTTAAACGATAATCAAGCGACTGTTTAAAAATACTGTTGAGATAATTGTCAAATTAGAGATTGAATCATTATAATGGATTACCTTTGATGGAGGTAATCACACATTTTTTTGTCAACTTGTTTAAACATTTACTGGCAACTTGCTATTTGCGTACAGCAAAGAGTAAAGGAAGAAGAGACAGCAATTCAATACAAAGTCTGAACCAAAATTTTTTTTTGGTGTCAGAAGATGGCGCGAGAAAGAGACTCTTTCTTTTTACTTTCTTTACATATTTTTCACTCTCTTTTTCTCTTTCTTTTCTCTTTCTTTTCATCATCAAAAATTAAATTAAAACAATAAATGTCAACATTAGAAAAGGCTTTTTTGACAACTTTTCAATGTTTTCAATGTCATTTTAATTGATTTTAATGATTTTGATGCTATGATTTCTTATTTAATGATATATTTGTGATGATTGTGACAGAAGAATGTCTTTATAGCTAACAAAATCTAAATTGATCAAGCAAAAGTCTATCAAAAAGTTTTCATAGTCAATCAATTAAGGTTTGGGACTATTTTGGTTACTCTGCTAATAAATAAATATAAACTCGAATAAATTCTGAATTCATTGATTTTACGGGAATTCACCTTCACATAAAGCAAATGGTGAATGAATTGTCGTTAGTATAATGTTGGACATATCTATCGGTTAACGAATTTACCATTAAATTATGAATCTAACAGCTGTAAAGAATAAATTCAGAATTTATTGGCAGGGAAAGTTTATCGTAACCAAAATATTACCGAAACCTTAACACAATGACTATGAAAACGTTTTGATAGACTTTTGCTTGATCAATTCAGACTTTACTAGTTGAAATGGCATTTTTTCTGTTAAATCGTCATGAATTTGTCATTAATAAGAAATCTAAGCATCAAAATCATCAAAATCATCAAAATCAATTAAAAAAACATTAAAAACATTGAAAAACAATCAAAAAAGCCTTTTCCAAAGTTAATATCAATTGCATTAATTAAATTTTCAATTAAAAAAAGAAAGAGAAAAGAAAGAGAAAAAGAGAGTAAAAAATTTGTAAAGAAAGTAAAAGGAAAGAGTCTCTTTCTTGCGCCATCTTCTGACACCAAAAAAAAATTTTGGTTCAGACTTACTATTGAATTGCTCTCTCTTCTTCCTTTACTCTTTGGCGTACAGTAAACATGTAAAGTTAAATAACAATTATGAATACAAAATTTAAATTGACTTAATTTGATTACTTTCCTTTCTTTTCTTGGTTGGAAATGTCAATTTCATTTTGTATGAAATCATTTATTGAAATGAAACATTTTGGGAAACATTTTTTGCTTGCTTGAGTATTTCCTCTTGTCCGTGTCTTTGCTTGAACTATTTGATTTGCAAATTAATTGATGGCAATCAGATTGAATAGGAGCATCTCTTGAACATTTAGATAAAGCTAAATGTAATGGTCATCTGGTCAATGGTAGAAATAGCTGAGCCAATTGAATCTTTAAAATCATCTCATTTGCCATGCACTTGTCTATACAATGTTTATACTTGGATTGCGTATTACGGCTTATCGTCTGACATTTTCCCTCTGATTTACCATTGAAATTGATTCTTGATTTCCATTATTGAATTTGTAAGTTGACTTTGATTTGGTTTCCAGAATAACCATCCTATTATTGATCCTGGGCTTGATTAAGTTGTATCAGCTGATTGAGAGGCTTTCCTTTGGCTGGTTATTTCCATCCTTCTTTACACTGTATAAGATTAATTAAATTAGGATTTCAATCAAAAAAAGAGAGTTAATTAGTATTATAACTTGTTGATGAGAATGTTAATTTACCTTCAACATGAAATAAATGTGTTCAAAATGATTGGAAAGGAGCCACGAGAGAAGAAGATATAATAACAAGGTAAAAGGTGTTAACCAGTGGAAGTTAGTAAAGGAAGAGAAGGGAAAATAAAAATCATGTTAAGGGTTAATATTATTTGATTGATGGGCTTTAGTTTTTGAGTAAAAAGGAGGTTCATTGAGTTATTTTATTATACAATTTGACAGTTAACCAATGTTTAGTTAACACTCATAAATATAAATAGTCTTGAGTCCCTCTTGAGGTTAATTTAAACCACAGAAGATGAGAATCTGATGATGAAAAGATGTGATATGAGAGTCCAGAAAGTATCAGCATCAGGTAAATGGGTTAAAACGTTGAACAAAAAATGAACAAAAAGAGAAGTGAAATTAGGAAAACAAAAAGGTGAAAAGCGTTAATTAACAATCAACAAAAAAAAACAACTTCAATTGATAATATAGAAATGGCAAAAAAGGAAAATATTAACATTACAATTTGAAGCGTAACAACACAAAGTAAACAGAGGAAAGTCGAGAGGGATTGAAAATATATTCATTTATTTCAATGCAAGCTTCTATGGACTATTGGAAAGACAGAGAAATTGTAAAAAGATTGAAAAAGGTAACTCGGTAACAATTAGACAGAGAAAAAGAGAGAGAAACAAAGAGGTAGATGATGATAAGAGTGAGAAGAAAGCTGTAGGGGTGGGTGGGTTAGTGTAATTAATTAACAAGACATGCTATTTGCAAGTCTGTTTGCGTCCCAATTTTGACTTGACAATCATTAATCCTGACGTAAACGATATTTTGTTTTATTTGCAAACTGGAACACTGGAAACTTAACCATTTCTCATTTTGTTTCCCTATTAATAATGGAAGAAGAGGAGAAAGAGAAAAATGAATTAACCAACATAATCAATTTGTATTCTAAGCGATCATCGGCTAGACCAAACCATCATAATTGCTGTTTCCCTGAGTCGCCCCAACCCAGAGACTATCATTATTACAACCCACCTTCAGGCCTTTTCATCTTTTCACTTTCTTCTTGTTCTTGACTTGTAAAATTGCTTACAAGGGAAGGTTCTCAGATCGCAAAGTCAGATTTTTTTCAAACTTGGTAAATTCATAGCTTATTACTGATATAATTAGCATACGCGTGCATTTGATTCGCAACTCAATAGTTTTTTCGAAAATCAAAATCAAATTCTTTATTCATCACTATTATAATGCATATGAATATTGGTTAATACAAAATGATTGAAACATAAATTTTTCCCACAGTAGGCACAAATGATGAAACATGGATTTTCACATGAAATTTCATTGCAGTTTTCATTTTGATGATTGAAAATTGCTTCCAGAACGTTTTCAAAGCTTTCAATAGGTTCAGACATTTCATAACCAGATTTTTGCCAGGCGTATTTGTGCATTGGTCTGAAAATTTCTGCTGATAACTGATTGTGAGTAACCGAATTCAATTTGACGATAAACTCTCTGTCTTTTAACTTGATAGTAGCTTCTTCTGTGGGCAAAATCGTTCTGACGTAGTCTGAAGCTCTTCTCATGATAATTTTGTATTGTCTGAAGAAAAAGACGTCCAGCGGTTGAATATATTTAGTCGCTTTTGGTGGAATAAACTTCAGAATTACCTCTTTTTCACCAATATTCTCTGTGTAAATGCTTGTATCAAGATGGCCAGTGAATGAGTCGAGCAATAAAATATTTCTAGGTCCGAAAATGTCCTTGGCAACTGATTGAGCGAAACCTATTAGATTTTTACGCTCCATTTTACCACTTTTACTTGCCTCTACATGAACATTAGGATAGGCATCCATGATTCTTTGAATATCGGAATTGACTCGAGGACCAAATTCACCCTTTGTCTCTTGAAAACAAATGTAAATTTTTTTGCCAAGATAGCCAGCTTTGTTTGTCATTAGTTGTATTGTATAAGAGTGAGTTGTTGCTGAAAGATTCTGCACTGTTGCGACTGTATCTTTCTCTCCTCTCATTGATAGTGTACGATTGGATGTCATCTCGTATTCAATTTTTGATTGGTCAGTGTTCCAAACAAATTCATCAGGTATATTTTCATTTGAAATAAGCTGGTTAACCTCTTCTACAAATTCTCTTGCTTTTTCCAAAATTTCTGTCTCTCCAGTGATAGTTCTAGCTGTTGCAAAACGAGTGATTTTTCTCGAACATATTCCATTATTTCGCTTGAAATTCAATAAAAACGTCTTTGATGCCTTGAAATTGGTAATTCCTAATTGTGTTGCTCGTTCCCGAGCCCATTGCTGAATGTGCCAATAGTGAATAATTTTACCAGCTAGTCGCGCCTCTGTAAATTTATCTTTAGTAAATTCATGAATTTTCATGAGCTTGAATTCATTTGATCCGCCAGATTCAAAACTTGAACATATAGCTCTCAATTCGTGTAATGGCTTTTTGAATTTTTTCATACACTCATTGTAAGATTTACCACTTTGCTTGTATTCATAAATCTCACGTCTTTTTGCCTCTGAAAGTCTCAACTCGATAGCTTTTTTCCGCTTAGCTGCGACTACTTCTTCCTGGCTTGATGTTGAACTGGAAGTTTGTGAAGACGTTGACTCTGACGATTGACTTGTTTTAATAATTGATGGACCAGCTCCAGGATCTTCATAAAGAATTTCGACTTCATCATCACTATCAGCTTCATCAGCAAATACAAGGGAGATTTCATCCTCAATTACCAGAGAATGGGCTATTTTCGCTTTGATTTGTTCACAAAGATATGATGAGAAGCGTTTTTCCTCAAGGGTCACAGGTGTAGATGTTTGATTAGGGAATTCACGTATTAAATCCTCTCTAATAAGATTACAGATGTTGATTGGGTTGATATCCATCTCAATTTAATAAAAAAACACGAAATATATGAATTGTAATTATTGAAAATACAAAATGTCTGAAATTTCGAATGAACGCTAAACAAAAACTAGACAATTGCGAATCAAAAGCGATTACGTATGGTCAGAGGAGCGCATGCGCAATGTACCTACGAAATTTCAACAAGATCTAACTTTGCGATCTGAGAATCTTCCCTTGTTAGGTTTCTCAGTCTTGAGATGTTACTCTCTGGATGAAGGATAGGTTGAGAAAGCCTGATAAAAGAGCTACTAAGAACTTTCTCAGGTCCTGTTTTCGGACATCGAGTTTGAATTGTCTCCATCAACTAATGATATTGTCATCTAAAAGTTCATTCATCATTCGGATGATTTTTGATCTCCTTTGTTGATCTTATTGATGGTTTTATTGACTTTTTTGTTGATATCTTTTATTTCATGTTTATCTTTTTCCATTTTTATGTTTGCTTTTTCAAGGTTTGCAAGTAATTATGATAAATTTTAAAGCTAAATTGTATTAATAATATCAAGCCAAGCATTTTCAAAAGACCAAATTGATTAGAAAATTATATTATCGTGGAAAATTGAACATAACATTTATTAACAATAAGGTAGAACGTTTAAATTATTGGTTTTTGAATTGCTTACAAGTAAATTCAACAACGTTCAAATACTCTGTACAGTTGATTTGTTGCTGTAATTACTTTGAAATGATCTTTCAATTTTTCGGATGGTTTAAGAAATGATTTGATCTTTGGATAAAGAATGGATGAAATGACTCTGAGCCAATCTTCAGAATTGTCATAATCGTGAACAGATGGGGTAAATAGCCTAGCTAATGCATAGCCAAAAGTTTGAAAACAAGGTTTTTCATTTTTCCAATCAACATTATGGACTAAATCATTGATAAAAGATGGAAGCTTAAGAGGATTAGGATGATATCCATTTAGGAGAACAGGTAATGAGCAGAGTGTTCCATCAGGTTTCAGTTCAAGACTGAAATAATCTTCAGCCATATCACGAATATATCTTCGAGTTAACTTGACACAAGCATCATCAGAACTAATAGAATCATGATCACGATAAGGCTCGAACATTTCATATAATTTACCAATCGAATGAGGCTCCGTGAACTCTAGCACTCCAAAGTTACCAAAGTCTTGCAAATAGAGCTGATAAAATAGTTCGTAACTAAAGGGATAAATATAACAATTGAATGTTAAAATTGTTTCAAAAAATATATTGTTTATCAACACACCTCAATTTTGTGATATCAGTGACGAGCAATTTGGTTTCATGTTGAATTGCGATGATGTTGTTTGAAACCACACCAATAAAACACGAGTCTTTGATTGTACGATGAAGATCAATATCACACTTTGCCAAAACTTCTTTACGTAGTTCTTTAATACTGTCAAGCTGGATTTCTCGAACAATCATATTTTCTCCAGAAGCAGAACAGAATTCATTTCTATCCCAAATTTCATCAATTGTTTGATTCCTTGCATCGGTTCTTACTTTTTTAGCTGGATTGATTTTAGGGCTTGTTTTTGATTGACTTAGAGATGCACTTAGAGATGTGTTTAGCTTTGAATGGCTGGGTTCAGAGAAAGTAACATTGAGTTTAGATTGAGATGATGTTGTAGCGATCACTCGCGAGGAAGTTGTAGATGTTAATTTAGATTCGATGGATGACTTGATTTCATTTAAAATATGCTCTTCGTATAAAAATCTAACTTCATTTTTACTTGGATGAACATTAACATCTAAATTGGAGGGACTTATCTTGACACTGAGGTAAACAAATGGATGAGCTCCTTTGACTAGAAAATTGGAGTAAATTAATTCAATGGACTTTTTAAGAGGTGCACAATCAACCAAACGATCGTTTATGAACAAGATGAATCGCATTTTTTTAAGTGAGTAATTAATTTGGCTGATGAAACCAGTGCAAGTGAAAATATCTCGAGATGATTGAGCCGTGATTGGTGTCACATTGGCGGCTATCTCTTTGCCGTAGAGCAATCGAATATTGTCGATCGTTTGTGATTCAACAAACGTTTGGACATCACAGATTCTGGATTCATCCTTTTCAAGAACAAAGGAAACGAAATTCGAGCAATGTACAGCATATTTCGATACCAAATCAAAAATTGCATTATATTCTTCACTTGGAGACTTTAGAGATTTCTTCCGAATAGGCATATTGAAGAATAATTGGTTGATGGAAATAAGTGTTCCTGGATTAGCCGCAATAGCAACAGGATTCGGGGTTTCGGGATTTCCTTCGGTTATCGAGATTTTGTAGCCACAAACACAGTCTTTGACTCTTGAAATTATAGTCAACTGTGAAACAGCAGCTATGGATGACAAAGCTTCCCCTCGGAAACCATAAGTAGTTAATTTGGTGATATCTTCAAAACTTGACAGTTTAGAAGTTGTATGCTTTTGGTAAGCAATCATGAGATCTTCTTTCTGCGTAAAAAATATAATTATTAAAAAGAAAGCCAATTTATAAGCATCATTGTCATTAAAAACTAACCGATATCCCAGTTCCATTGTCTTGGACTTGAATACTATCTCTGCCTCCACCTTTTATTCTAACTATAATGTGCGTCGACATGGCATCCAAACTGTCAATAAAAAAGAGCATGGGTTAATTAAATACTCACCGAACACAATGAAATTTATAAATTTCTTACCTATTTTCGATCAACTCCTTAACGGCATTGAAAGGTCTAACAATTACTTCTCCTGCTTTAATTTTGGCGATCACATCAGCAGGCAGCTTTTGAATACGAGTAAGAGGTGGTGAAGGCTCCATTACCTTGCAAAAAAGTAATACTGCAGATTATAAATCTCTGAAATTAAATAAAAATACGGAAAATAAAAATTAAAGTGAATGAAACAAAAACCAAAGAGTAAATAAAATTTGATGCTGGCGCTCTTTAAATCATCAGGAATAAAAACCTTGGCAACAAGAAGTGGACCGCCAAATACAAAAACTTCAAGTTCATTTGAAAACAAAGTGGTGAAGAAGTTGAACAATTTCAGTTACAATGATTCTAATGAAGAAAATAATTTCACAAATCACGTAATTGCCAAATTTTGAATTAAAAATGCACTCAAGTTTATTATTTTCCAAATACATTGTATTCCATGTTTATTTAAACATCCAAAAAGCATCTTCTTGAAGACTCGAAGAAACGCATACATTTTGTCAAATTTGAATATAAAAATTTGACATTTTCTAATCGTGTTAGATTTATTTTTTGAGTGTTTTAGAAAAAGTTTATGGCTTGAGTTTAGATGTATTCCGCTAAACATTAGTCCAAGTAAATACCAGAATTTATTTCTCCATCAAGGAGAGGTACAAAGTATTTCGTTTATAAGAAACTTTTTGATTTTAGATATAATTTTTATCCCAATCTTCTTGTCTACGACCATACCAGTCTGAAAACACCGGATCCCGTCCGATCTCCGAAGTTAAGCAGTTTCGGGCCGGGTTAGTACTTGGGAGGGAGACCACTTGGGAACCCCCGGTGTTGTAGACTTTTTTGCTTCTACTTTTCTTAATCAGTTTGTGCAACTTCAAATATTAGTAATATTGAAAGAGAGATACTTTGATTTGCTATAACTGTTGTTTTAAATATCTTATATCTGTTTCAGAAACTTATTTTAATAATGAGTACCCTTTTCATGCAATATTATAATTTCACGGTAATTTATTTGTGATTTTACGTGTTTCAACCTGTTTTTACCTTTTTTATTTTTAACTTTCTCAGTTTCTTAAGCCACGCTGTGATGAACTGGGTTTTGAAGAGGTCCGTCGCTCTGATTTTGAGGTTGATGCGTCCTATCATGGTTTTACCTCTGCGTTTTTCTGCCATTTCCTGGTAAATAATGAGGATTGGTAAATGAGTTTCTGGAGAACTTATCAGTGCCTTCAGTTAAACACTCAGAAATACTTTATTATGTGTGCTGAGATTGGACATAAGAACGAACATCTGAAAGCTTTTGGTTCTGCATATACGCTTGAGATAGCAAGCGATGCAGCCTGCTACAATTTGAGTAATATCATAAAGGAGTAGCACTCTTTGTTTTGTATGGTGAGTAATCATGTAATCTGTCGTTCTGAGATATAACTAAGAGATATTCTTGCTTTGCAGCCCAAATGCCCAAGCATACCCAAATGTCTGTGGACATTGTTATATTATTTCCGCGTTGGTACCCCTTTTTTATTGTGTGCCTTTTATCCGGCTTTTAACTGATGCTAATCTAAAATATCAATTGGGGTATTTAAGTGGTCAATATCGCTCTACTTCAAATGTTCGGGCTCGAGAGGAGGTACCCTTTTTTTGGACGGATCTCCTGTACTGTCTATCGTACTTTTCGTAATGTTGCCTATTTTTAACAGCAGTCAGTCTCGAGAAAGGATTTGTGAGTGTTGTGAATAAGAAATCTGGTGATAGACCTAGCAGGGGGTCGTGCGACTGCACCTGCCTTTGCGATGTTGGACAAGTCCTTGTTTGGTGACTTGATAGACAGCCTGGCTATTTATGTTAATCCTGCTTTCCGTGCGGGTGGTGTGATGAACGTGAGGCCTACCGTTGCCTCATACTGAAGATGGCTAGTGAGATACCAGAGGTTGTTCCTAATCTAATGTTCGACTTCATTGAGACGTACACATGTAGTGGATGTGATGAACTCTTTACTGATCCGTTTGTCACCCCTTTTATTCGAGTTCCGCCTAATGTGAGCTTTCAGTCTTTATTGAATTGTTCCGAAATGCTATTGCCTGTCAGCGTTTTCGGAGTTTGCATCGTTTGCCTACTGGTTCAAGATGCTGTTATAAGGTACGTGAGTTTATGTGAGGAAAATTTGAAATTGCTCCTCGTCTACTGGTTTTTGCTGTAGATTTTGTACGAATCTTCCTCCGGCTGTTTATGTTGATGAGCTCTCTTTGGAACTGGATGGTGTTAGGTATGGCTATAAGCATTACACAAATTCCGTATGCTTTCCTTGTTATAAAAATAAGGACGGTTTTGATTACGGGGAGTTTCATCGCCCATATGTTGTCGGTGACACCCGTGTACAGGACCACACCTATGCCCATATAAGAAGTGGAAATGGATATCATGAAGTCAATAATGGTGGCATTTATACGATTGATCATCGTGTTTTTAAAAAGACATTGCCTGGTTCGCTTCATTTTTATGTTCGTGAAGATGAGCCTTTATATAACCTCTTCTGAAGGCAGACGAGGTTATGCAGAATCCTACGTGCTGATTTCTTCATTTATCAGCAATTTGTCAGTAATTATCAGTCTGAGTTTTTCAGATTCTTTTATATGTTTCAATAACATATATAAATGCTGCTCAAGATTTCCTAGACCATTAAAGAGGAAAAGTTTCTATTTTGCCCATACATTCCTTTTATTTTATTTACTGAATTTAATACTGATACCGATTGCTAATAATTCTCAATTTTTCCAGTACCATTTATCAATCCTTTTTTATCCTCTGAAAAGAAATTCGTTCGAAGTTCTTTTACTTATGGTGTGCCCATTATGAGAGAAGAAATTATCAGACTAAATTGGATATCTTCCACAAGTTTTGAGATCTTGGAGATTTCTTACGTTTTCTTAATTTTATGTTTTAATTTTGATTTTAATTTCAAGTGTCATTTTATTTTAAGTATGATTTTTATTTGAATGAATTTAAGTGTTACATTAGTACATTGTCCAGAAAAAGTAATTGTATATCTTTTAATTCTGAATAAAATAATTTTAATTTTGCATTATGGTGTGTTTGGAAGGAGTATGTGCAAAAAATTTTCTTTTTGCGTTAAGAGTCACGTCTTTGCTAATTTATACTAACCTTTCTAAATCAAAAACTTTACTTATCACACAAGCCGGATACAAGATATGCAAATGATGCACAATGGCCTACATAAACTATCATGATGAGAAAACATGTATGAAAAATTTTCATCAAAGGTGTATATGCAAAAAATTTTCCTTTTGCGTTAAGAGTCGAGTCTTTGCTAATTTGTAGAGGCATAATAACTGAGCATAAAAGTCCAATTAAAAATTCGGTCCGGTCGACTGTTTTCGAGAAAATCGCGTTCAAAGTTGGAACTTCGGACGCATTTTTGGCCATGTTAGAGTTTATATTTTTTTATCAAACTCATTATTGTAGTGCAACTTTTCTATGGCCTATCTGAATATGAATATTCTGAACATTATTTTTGTGATAAATGTTATCGTTGTGTAGCTACAGAACGACCCGGTATTCGGACAAAGTGGGCGCTTGGAGCGCCGTTTATATATACCGAGCTCAAACTCATTTTCTCAAACCAGATAAAACTACTTGGGGATCATTTATGACTGAACAATTTCTCTGATTTATCAACGGTTCACTCAATTTCGAAGACCGACTCTAAAACTTTGACCTTTGATATATCAAGAACAGCAATACATGTGGACATTATTCTACGACCGAAAATCTTTGCTACTTTGTTCTATCATTTTTTATAATATCAAGGTCATACAAGGTCAAACAAAAAAAGGTATTTCAGCGTTTATCACATAATAAAAATGCTAGCTTTAATATTCAAATAGATGTTTATTCATCCTCATCGGTCCAATGATGAGTTTCAAGTAGTTGCATTGGTACAGAAGGAAGATGTAAATCTTTTGCATATCTAGCCCAACCTAGATACCAAACAAGTGTTGCAGAATGTGCACAACAACTAACTGTTCTCGCTCAATTTTTGCACTGGCAGTAATGTAGAATTTTGGTTCTATTGCATCTATTGAAACAAATCAAAACTAAACTTTGTGGCATTGCTGTGCCTAGACTGAATTCTTGCACGGATCAATATTGGAACCTCCATGGATAAAGAATCTGCCTTCTCTGATATGGAAGTTGAATCTCGCTGGACTTGAATATAAAATGATCCATCAACGGAAGAATGTTCTAAGAAGTATCCTTCTGCCATTTTCAATTGATATGGACCCAATGTTATCATGAAAAGATCTGCTATGCTGTATTTTGGAAACTCAAACAATACATGTGCATCTATGGTTTGCCAATTCCTGCTGTTCCACTTTTCAAATCCTTGTTGGAAACTTCGCCTGCTTACAAGAAAGGACCAATTCAATTATTATTATAAATGACTGATTAAGAATCTCGCGCATTCAAATAGAATATCCTGAAATTTTGAAAGTTTTGATAAAACATTTCTGTGTTCAATTCTTGATTGAAAACTGCAACCTCACTTATCAACAAGCCTGCACTATTGCAGAAAATCCATATAAAACCGCAACAATGGAGTTTGACTAGTTCGGCTGGAAAATAATGATCTTCGGTTTAAATAATCTCAGGAACATTCACAATTTCTTCGCTCAAAACAAAGTCAAATCAAAAACACAATAAATTTTGAAAGCATGCTTTTTTTATTGTCCGTTACACTTCACAATATATTATATCTAGAGCTTACATTGCAAGATATGATTCAAACTTAAATATTCAATGTTGTCATCAACATGGACTTGTGGCTTCGAATTTAATTGTCAAATCATTTTAAACTTAATTGTAAGTCAAAGAGAACCATTATTCTTAACGTTTTTCACTCTGCAAAAATGTGTTTTGATCGACTTCTAGGAACTGTGGATATTAGAGAAGATTCCGTTTCCTTAAAAAACATCTTTCGACTTGAAGCTCAACTTTTCAACATTAATCAAAATGTTTGTCCTTTTATTCACAAAACCACTTTAAACAACTGGACCCTCTTTTTCACACTCAATTGTGGACTTATGCTTAGAAGTAGTCGATAGAAATATTGGGATGCCATTTGCGGTTATTGAAAGCTCTAAATGAACAATTTTTGCATCAATATTGTTAAAGCGAATTGTATTTGAAATATTCAGTGATCATTAACAATTTACA